CATTCCTCACTGGTCCCCAGCAGAACAGAGTTCAGACACCTGGTCCCTAACTTTAATTACAAGCAGCTTTTGCTTTGCCAACTGCAGTTTTGCTGAGTTGCAAATCTAGAGGCAGAGCTGCCTTAAACTGGCCTCAGCCTTCCCACAGGGCAAGATGCTCCCTGGGACCTTTTCTGCTAGAAAAGCTGTGCATAATCTTTGCTTCAAACACAGTCCCTGATCTCTGGCTCCCTGCACAGCTACTGGCTGTGGGCGCTGCCCAGTGTTTAACTCTACACATTTGATAACTTACTCCTCCCTTAAATCTATCAGTCACTAGCAGCCCTGTATTTTTCCTCATTCCACCCCAGTCAGCTTCTCCTCCTGAAACGTTTCATTAATGGGAGAAGCCTTAGGACATGCTGTTCCAACAGAACTTGTGTCATGTCAGGCAGATGTGCTCCCAGCCACACACTGCTCCTGGGAGGTCCCACAGGGAGCAGATCTTGAGTTAGCCTGAAAAGGACAAGCCTTGGAAGTACAAGAAAGTGGAAAGTGTTTCCTTGTGGCCTCTCCAGCCAACAACTAACAAGCTGCTGAGTACCTAATTTTTTTTGCATTATCTTTCCAGAAATATTTAGGCACCCAGGGCAGAAGAACTAGAAGTATGTATTAACATGTAGTCTGTATTTTTCAGCTTTTTAGGAACACCTTCCTCCTGCTGCTACAACATACACCCACACAAGTGCAAGGGGTGCAGAGCACTTGCAGTTCATAGACCAGTGTCAGCTTGACTAGATGTTCATCGTGTGTGTGTATATATATATAAAATAGACAAACCAATGAAAGTATAAAATTTAATCAGCCTGTTCCTTTGGACAGAGCCACACGCTGGGGTACCCCTCATTTCATAAAGCCCAAGGAGGCCATGATCTATTCCAACTGCATCTCTTTTAATCCCAGAAGTACAAATCACATTAGCAGCAGTGTTCTGTCTTTTCCAGAGTGCAATTTTGACCCTGAGTTTACAGTAGTAGAAAACGTAAATGGAACAGTCTAGCAGATTCCTTTGCATATTGGCTGCATTAAACAATTACAACAGAATGATAAAAATCCTAGGAAAAAAAAAAAATACTATATTCCTTGTTCGAGTTCTGCAGAAGAAAGGAGTGAAATGGCCCTCCTGTGCTTTGCATTAGAGGAGCAGAGCGAGCGTGGCTGGAAGGAAGCCCCCCTGCCAGCCAAGACAGAGACATCTTGGTCCTGGCCACCAACAGATGCTGAAACAAAGCCACAGGAGGAACTGGCAAACTGAAGCACAACCAGCAGAGACCAAATGCCAGGACTGGGGATGGACAGATCAAAGCTATGGCCAATGTTTGGGAAACTTCAAGAGGATCAAGCCAGTCTGGACAATTCTGTGTAAAGATCAGTGCAAAAATGACACCTAAAGCTAAAGGCATGTGTTTCCCTCCCACCCCTCACACAGTGGGTTCAGCTTCCTTCACAAGAACATCACTGGCACATCCATGATGGTTCAGTGAAACTAGACCCAGAAACATGCTGGGAACAAACCACAAACCACAACAGTCCAAACTGACACCCAATCTAGCTGTCAAATCACAACCACCTCTGGGAATCCAGCTGACTGCACAGATACTCCCAGTGCTCCAACTCCAGAACTGTTCTTCACTGGTGGGAGAGGAGTTACAGAAGCTGTCCAGACCCTGCAGGGTGCCTGGATGGGTGGACTCAGACAAGCCCTGAGAGAATCTACCTTCATCTCAGGATTACAGATCCATTCTTATGATGCTTGCCTCATGGGCAGCTGATCTTGAACAAGGAATATACAAGGCCACAGGCAGAATAAAAACGATATATGCCTTAAAACTAGTAGTCAGGTCCCAGAATCCAGTGCAAATATTCTCCAAAGATGCCCAATAGCATCTAGTCCATCCTTGGCATCAGGATCCAACGAAAACTGTGGTGAGGGAGGGACCCAGAAGCTTCTTTCTGCGGAGCTTGCAGGGAGGTTGGAAGGCTGCACTGTCACGTCCTGCCCAGCAGCTGATGCTGCAGACCAGGGGATGGAGCATCAGAAGTAGAGAGCTGGTTCGCTGCTGAAATCCGAGAGCCCGCCCTTCTCGGCTGGGGTGAGCTGTGGAGAAAGCAGAAGGGAGATGGAGGTGGCATCAAATCCAAAGCAAACGAGTGCCCACACCTCTGGAGGGTGAAGGCTGCGTTGGCACCTTGCCTGGGGCTAACCAGCACATTTAGTTCCCCCCATCCAAACCCTGGGGTAGGAAAGTGTCCTGGCTGCCTCCCGGGGAGAGGCAGGATGTGCTGGGATCAGACACAGGCTCCAGGGTGAGAAGCAGTGGAATCGTTTATTATGAGAAAATGCTCCCTTATATACTTGTACAGTGCGAACTGAGAATAGGCAACCGGGGTAGAGAGTGCAGCACTCACACCTGCTCCTTGGCACATACACAGACTTGGGGCCCCCAGGATGTAGCCAACCACACACCCAGCACATGATAAACACTGTTCTGATTTTTGTCAACCTTCACCCTGCTGCTTACAGCCAGCCCTGGCCCTTAGCTGGTTTCCTATTGTTGTGTCTACTTCTTTACACGTAGAGGAGGCCCTTTTTCTTTTCCCATGGCTGTTCTCCACAGCTGGTCCCCCAGGACCTTGTGTTCCCCCTCAGTGGCACAGCTTGAACAGCCACCCTGGGCAGCCAGCACAGCCACAGGTGTTCAAGGAAGGCACAGCCCATCCCATCCACTATCCAGACCCACTAGAGCACCAGGTAAGTGCACAGCAGGACACAGCCAAGCCCTGCTTATTTCAAGTCTCACCATCTCTTGGTTCCCACGGGAATCAGCTTCCTTTGGAAGGGATCCTTCCACAGCAGGCATCTCCTCATACTTCTGCTCCTGCCACTCACTGAACTTCACAGAGTGCTTTGGGGTGTAGCTGGATAAATCTGTTGGAAGGACAAAGCTGACATGAGTATTTCTCGTTGCCCCAGAATGAAACAGGATCAGGATCCTGGCCAGGAGAGCACAGAAACTGCCCAGCTGTTCCCTGTTCCGGCTGGAGCCCTCTCCCCACTAGGCCCTAGTTCTGCTCTCAGCTGGCAGAAGTCACCTCCATTGTCATTTCCAGCTCTGTGGAGCCCTATAAGGGGCTATAGGGAACATGGACAGTGTCAGACAGCACCAGTAACTCCCCAGTGCCACCACAGTGCCTCGCTCACCTGAGTTAGGTGTACTGGGATGCAAAGTGCTATTTGGACGTGGAATGCAAAAGGTGTGAGATTTGTCCTCCTCTGTTTCAGAAGCATGTCCTTCCTCTTCCTCTTCTGCCAGTGAGCTCTCTGATGGATATTCAAACATGGTCTGCAAACTTGTCTCATTGAAAGATATCTTCATCTAGACAGCAGCAAAGGAGAATTATTAGAAAGCAGCACAAGAAATCCAACACTTGCTCTGACAACAGCCACCTCCCACCCCAGGTTTCACCCTGGTTTAAGGGAGCCATTGCATGTCCCCCCACCTTTCCCCACATGCCTTGTCAAACCTCTTATGGTGCTGAGAGAAACCACAAAGGCAGGTGGCCAACAGGATGGGATGGAGTCAGGAGGCTGAGAGCTCCAGAGTACCTCTGGCTTTTTGCCCCAGCACACACTTGACCATCACCTAACACGGATGCCCGCAGGCAGGAGGAGCTGCTGGCACGTCCCTCAAGAGGGATCAGGGTTGCCAAGGAGGAAAGGAAAGCATCCACATGTTGGAAAGGTGACATTGCTAATGCCTGCCAACTTGTCTACCCCTGCTCTAGAGTACAGAAACTTCAGCAATCAGGACTATATCTCTGGGAGGACATCCTGGCAAAAAGCTATTGAAGCTAAATAAAAACAGGGTTTAACACCACAAATGAGAAGATGGAAGCAGCTAAAGGAGAGATGGTGACAGGTGGAGAACACTGGAAAAGTGGGAGGTACCTAAAAGTTCTGTTTTGAAAAGGGTTTTATTTAGTACTCTCACTAATGACTTTTGAACAATAACAGAGAGATGGAGAATGACAATGACTCCAACATGGGAGTTCACCACAGAAAAACCACATTTTTATGGGTCATTCAGAAAACTGGAGAGCAAGAACACAAAAAATGAGACAATGTTTAACTTTGCTCTACAAGAAACTCACCACCTGTGAATAACCAAGAAAATCTGGATTGGCTACAGCAGTGTAATAATTATATTAAGGAATAAGGACTGCCTGGCTCCATCCTCCCTGTAACACCCAGCAGGCAGTGGAAGGCAGCAACTGGACTCCCCCATTCTCTCCTCCAGGCTGAACAAACCAGTTCCCTCAGCTTCTCCTCATATGCCATTACCCCCAGCCCCAGGAGCTCTCTGGTAGCCTCTGCTGGACTTGCTCCAGTTTTTCCACCCATCCTGCAGCAGGATGCCCAAACCCAGACACAGTAACTCCAGATGTGCTCTTCAGAGTGAAAGTTGAGGGAAGGGATTGTTCCTCTGCAGCTTGACATGTCCTAATCATTATCTACTGTTCTGCTGAGAAGCTCTGGTTACAAGTCATGTAAACAGGTGGAGAGCAGATTCAGCCTGCTCAGAGTGAAAATGAAGGCTGAGAAAGAGCACAACAGCTCTTTGTAAGTACACCAAGAAAATAAACACCAAGAAAACAAATACCAAGGAGCAGAGGAGAACAGCTGATGCCAGCACACAACAGACAAACAAGGGGGATGAGCTTGGCAGGAATTAGTTTATGCCAGAAGGAGGGAAGTATGTAGCCAATGTGGATCAAGGTTCAGGAGCCTCAAAGGGTATTGTGATCCCTTTACTTCTAACTACAACTAACATTGAGCTACTAGGGTTCTGAACAGAATTAAAAGGGCATGGTTGTTGGTGATAGGAGAAGGAAGGATGGAAATAGCACCCGGAGAGGGCAACAAGCTGCCTTTCCCCATTCCCTGCCCCAGCCCTGGCCAGAGCCACTCTCATCTTCTCCAGAGGACCCATAGGGAGAGGAATGATTACATGCCAGAGAAAAGGGGCTGGAATAAAAAGGCCCTAAAGATCAGAGCATCCCAATTGCTGTTCCCTGAAGTTCTCACCCTTGCTGCTGACCTAGATGCTCCCTGATCCGAGCCAAGCAGTGACTGCTCACAATGTGGAGCCTGTGCTGTGGGGATGAGCCAGCCTGCCAGGCACCAAGGCCACGAGGGCTGAGCTGCCCAGAGCTCCTGGAAGCTCTGAAGCTACCCCAGAACACAGCTCTCCACTGCACACGGGCTGCTCACCAGTGCTGGCAACTGTGCTGATGGGCAAAAAAAACGTGGCCAAACACAAAAACCAAAAGGGATAAGGAGAGATGTGCCCTGCTTTTAAAATTTAAGACTGGGAGATGGAACCAGGTTTTTGCTGGATTTCTGGTATCAGGAGGAAATCTGTAAGGAAAGTTACTTTGAGTCCAATTTGGACCAAAGCTGTGTGTAGTGCAAGAAGAGAGAACTGCCTCTCCAGGGAGTAAAACCAAAGCAAGCAGCAAAAATTCCCAGGAGACACCTCCCCACGCAGAGCCCAGAGGAAACCTGCCAGCAGCCCAGCCCAAGGGCTGAGCCAAGGCAGCTCCACGTGCCCACAGCCACACTTGCTCCCTGGAGCAGGGCTGGGTGTCCTGGAGAACACTCTGCCACCAGGGTTGGTGGGGTTGCAGAGGCCCCAGCGCTGCAGGAGGCCAGGCTGGAGCCATTCAGACCAGTAATCATTAACCAGAGCAGTGCCAGCCCCAGGCACCCAGAACCCCAGCTCAGGACAAGACAACCTGCTGCTTCAGCAACACCTCCAGCCAGCAATGCCCAGGTGGAGCCTGGCACAACATCACCCCCAAAACCTCATGCTGTCGTGCTCCAGGGTCACATCCTAACCCCCCCCCACCCATGTCCTGCTGCCAGGAAGCAGGAGGAGCCCCAGGGCTGCTCCACAGCAGCGCGTCGGGGCGCACCCAGGCAAAGCAAACACCAGGAACAGCCAGGTGCTGGCACAGGGTTGGGCTCCTGCAGGTGACCCACCTGCCCATGCAGAGCAGAGGGAAAACAGCCCTGGAACCCAGAGCTGTAAGCCTGCCAAGAGCTGTGGGCACCACTCAGGTCCCCCACATGAGCTCTCCTCCCCAAACGTGAGGCTTCAGGGGAAGCACAAAGCAGCTCTGAAGTTGGGAGCATAACTTATTCAGGCGGAAAGAGGGGACACATGGGTCAATATGGGCAGAACTGGGCACTGTGAGTAAGGAACATAGGCAGATTTGGTTCCAAGAAATATCTAAAAGAAAAATCAGGAGCCCAGTAATGACACAGACAATAGGTCTGCACAGCCAGCCCCTTGCCAGCCCACGCAGACTTCTATGGAAACACAAAAGGCAACAGAGATAATTTCCTTTAAAAGGAAAATGTATCCCAGAAAAGCCAAGCACACTCCAGCCAGAGAACGTATTTCATCATGTCTCAGCAGAAGTTCCCCTGTTTCTACTGCTAGCTGGAGAAATAAGGAATTCTGCACCCTTCAGCTGTGGATGTTTGCAGGGATTTGTCACTATTTGCTCAGCTGAATGCTTCACCCAGAACTGACACAAAACCAGGGTCCAACCCAAAACCATTTAGCTATCTATTAATACCTTCCCAGCAATCAGAAAGAATAGGGCAGGTTTTTCAGGGAATATTGTGCTGTTGAGCCCCCAAATTCCTGTTGCCATAGCAAAGATCATTTATTTATTTGCTTGGAATTGAACAGTAATGAGTAATAGAGCACCCGGGGGAAACATAAACAAGCTTAAATAGGAGTAGTGATATATGGCTCACTTTGAAAAGCAATATAAATTCAACCTTGTTTCAGGTGATGCAGGCTGGCAGGACCCAGTCTAACCCCAAACAATTGTGAAAGAGCTCTGTACTAGAACTAAAAATAACCAGTTTACAGAAAACAGCTTGTGACAGGAACAATGCAAATCAGCAGCCACCTCACCTCCAAAAGCCAAGGTGGGAAAGTCTACAGGGATAAGGATATCATCATAAATCTCTGGAGCAAACCATGGGGCTAATCAGCATCTTCAGAAGCAACCTCTCTAATGTGGCTTTGCTCTTCTCCCCGTATCATTATATTTGGTCCCTGGCAGGTGTGGCAAAGCCAAAGTGTAACACAGGGTGCTTTACACCCTTTGAACAGGGACCCTTCTGGTAGTGCAAATCCTCACCTTGTAATAGTAAAAAAATAATACTGTTCTAGTATTAGAAGAACAAAAGAAGGTGAAAAAAACCCCATCGCATTCCAGCAAGCACAGTCAGGGTCAGCATACTGATCCCCTCTGTAGCAGTCTACCAAAAATCATGGAGCCCATTTCCCCTTCCCTGCAGAGAGATTGCCAACAGCCACCCTCCAAGCCCGTGGCTCTCACAGGGGGCTGCAAGGGACCCCACTGCCATCCCTGCTCAGCACATGGAGCTGGATGGGGTGGCAAGTCATGGAGCACAAGCTGGAGTTTCTCCACACGACACCACACGGTGCCTGCAGCACTTCCAAACGCTGCTGCAGAGCCTGGAGCAGGGCAGCAGCTGCTTCATGGTGACAAGAGGGGGACAGCAAGTTTTAGGTAACGTGGTTACACTCCCAAGTGCTTCACAAGATCCACCAGCTGAGTAGCACCAGGGATCAAGATTTGCTCTTCTCAGGTACTGTTTTTCCTCTAATCATCCCCTCTCCCTCAAGTAATATTAATGCTGAAATGACAAAAATCTGACTGTGCTGCCTCCTGAGGACATGCACCAGCTGCCAACGTGCTGCTGGGTGTGATCTAAAGCAGCTGGTTTAACAGCTTGTCACACCTGGTCAGCCAAATGCCTCCTCCTTTCTCAGCAAAGGCAGCAGGAGGGTTTCGTCTGTATCTGCAGGAAGGGTGGACAACAATTCACCATGAAAACAAAAGTGTGACTGACATCTCTGACAGGACAAAGCATAGACAAAAAAAATCAGTGGTTTGAAGAAAGATCACCTTATGCTTCTGTGCAGTCCTTACATTGAGCTTTGTTGCTGCACTAGTTGTCCAGAGATTCGGTCAGTGAGACAAAACACAAGACCAGGCACCTGAGAACTGCAGCAGCCCAAGCTGGGAGTGCATCAGGCAGCCTGTTGATGCAGAACATCCCATCGAGGCTGGCAAGAAACAGCACCCCAAGCTGGGCAGGAAAGCTCCTCGGGCACCAAACCCCATTTGGTAGGGTGGTGGAGGCTCTGCCCAGCAGAGCTCAGGATCTGTGCTAGGAGATGGGCCCCTCAACACCTCACACCTCACCATAGGGCGAGAGGGAAAGTCCATGCACAGACAAATAACTGCCTGTGAGACTGGGAACAGA